TTCTGGGCAAAAATGCTTTAGCTAAAAGAAACTTCCACACCATTGGGGACATGTGTGAGCCTTGATTGAGCATTCTTTCTTCATATCACATTATTTTATGTTCTTAAAATTATTAATTCTTCCACTAACTCTTTGTTCCAACTAAAAAATTCCTTACATGAAAACCATTTCAACCAAATGTATCAAGCACTTTTTCAGTTTCTTCACATTCTCATCTCAATAAGCTGTTGAACGCAATTACAGGTCTCATGTAACCAGTAGGGGATTATTCATCTAACAAACAAGGTGATAGCTTTCGCAAAAGCACTTCAAATTCAATCAGTCCAAGATTCCTGTAAAAAAAAGATTATATTAAATATTATATTAAATAATGAAGGACCAATCAAATTGATGTCTTTTTGTCCAAGACTCTCTCTTCTACACCTATAAATATGGTTCTCCTCAAAGCCACAAAATTACACCTCAAATTCAAGAGCTCTAAAGAACTCTCTTGAGGATATGAAGACGTTCTTGAAGATCCAAGAACATTCAAGTTGAAGATCGACGTTCAATCCTCATCCAAACGTCCTAACCTTCGAAGTACGCTTAGTGGAGAAGCATCCAAACCTCCTAACCTTCGAAGTATGCATAATGGAGAAGAATGCCAAGAAGAAGAAAAAGAGGTGGCGACTATTCTCCAAGAAGTAAATAGACGGCATCCACTCGTCTCAAATTAAAGTATCAACGACGTTCAAACGACATTGAAGCCGCGTTCGTCGAGAAGTTCAAGCAACGTTTGATCTGGGAAAAAGCTCTCAAGCACTCGAGTCAGCGTTATTCAAGTTCAGATTCATGTTCTAGAAAGATCGAAAAAGCAAATACTCCAAGAAGTTGTCTCTAATCAAATCAAGTCCAAATCTTTTTAATTTGGGATCAAGTCATTCGACCCAATTAATGTTATACAATTCAAGTTCAAGCGTGAAGGAAATCCAACCGTCAAATCCAACATCGAAGACTCCAACCCATATCTAAGAAGCGAAGAATCAGAAGAAACATATAGAGATTGTATTCTCAAAATCGTTTATCGAAATAAAATTAAATTGTACAAAAGTTTTATGTTTTTCATAAAATTCAGGGTTGAAAATTTGGCATGCCCCTCCAAGTAAAATTTTGTTACAACATAAACAAAATTTATAAGAAGTGATGGAACATACTCACGAAAATTATAATTTTCTTTTTTTTTTCTAAGCATTTTATTTTAGAATCTATTACTATATAATAGAGAGAAGAAAAAATATTTGAAAAATTATTTCATTTTACCGCTCAAATCATTTTTTCCCTCCTAAAATTTTGTTTGAAATTTTTTCGAACATTTGAAATTTTTTCATTCCGAAATTCAGTATGTTTTGGATGAGTTCAATATATTTTGGATGAGATTCTTTCCATATTAGATAAATTCAAATTCCTTTTGATTAGAGAAAATAGATATTTATTTTAGCAGTATATTTGACTTCTTTTTTTTCAACCGATTATGTTTATCTTTTGTTTAAAATTGAAAAAAAAAAATTGTTTAAAGGAAATATTACAAACAGATTTTTTGGGTACATTCCATTTTATCAAAATTTGTTTGGATTTATATTTTTATTTATTAATATTTTGAAAGAGAAACAATAAATGTTTATCATAGCTTTTATTTAAAAAATAAATTTGAATTATCATACCTTATACTTTATATGAAATTCAAAATTACATATTTTAATATATTAATAAACGTTTATTATTTATTTTTTCATTATGTGATATAATCGAAATTCGATATTAAAATTTTAAATTCAAACATTTAAAGAAAAAGATCCTAAGCAGATTTTTTGGGTACATTTCATTTTGTCTTAACTTCTATATAATTACATTTTAACAAATTAATTAATAGAATTACAACTATATAACTGGAATTTTTAAAATATAAGTAATATAATATTTTAACTAATTAATCTTTTGTCTAACCGAATTTATCTTATTAACAAACTTGCCAAAATTTTTGAAATTAAAATAGTAAGATTATTCTTACGGGTATACTTACCAGAATATTAAAGACTTCAAAAACGTTTTGAAAACAAATTTGAATTATTCCGTCTTCTACTCTATTTGAAATTCAAAATTAAATTTTTAAACATAATCGTAAATATTATTATTTATTTTTCCTTATGTGATATAATGTAAATTTGGTTATATAATTTTAAATTCAAACATTTAAAGGAAAATACCACGAACAGATTTTTTGGTTACATTTCATTTTATCTTAAATTCCATATAATCACAATCCTAACAAACTAATTAGCATAATATTTTTTTACCTACATTTATATAATCGGATTTCTTAAAATATAATTAATATAATAGTTTAACTATTTAATCATTTGTATAACTTGATTTAACTCATTAACAAACTTGCCAAATTTTTTTGAAATAAAAAAATAAATTATTTTTATTTGTAAAATAATAGAAAAATAGTTTTACTTTAAAGTATGGATTATTTCCATTATTTTTTGTACGTTAACAATCATATAGGTTTGATAATATTCCTTAAATAAAAAATATTGTATAAAGAGAAGTGTTTAATAATATATATTTTTCATTTTTTGCATTTATTTTAATTTCATAATAACGAGATATGAAAAATATAAATAATTATATTTAAAATAAAGTCTAAAAAAAAGTTTAAAATATGAGCTCCTCCGTATATCGCACGGGATATACACTAGTTAGAAAAAAGAAAATAAAAAGGAAAAAAGAAAAGAGAAAAGCGCACCGAAACAGAAGCAGAAGAGCAAAAAGTGGAGAGTTTTGTGTTGGAAGCCACATCCCATTCCCACCCCACTCACTTCCTAATTAAAAATAGTAATAAATAAATATATAAAATTAACTAACAACAGCAATTTACGATAAATATTGTCAAGCTCATCACTTTCATCATCCTTCCATTACCACTTTTCCTCCCAATCTCAAACGTAATCTTGAAAAAAAAGTTGGATCATTATGCAAAATTGAAATTTTGGAAAGAATCAGCGATCGTGAACTGTGAAAAGTACATTTGGGATCGTTATTTGCAATATCAAATTTTCATCGATTTGTGTTGCGATCATGTCTGGGTGCCCGTCGTCGTCGTCGGGATCGGAGGACGAGGATGAAGGGATCGACTCGTACAGGAAAGGAGGATACCACGCCGTGAGGATCGGCGACTCGTTCGCCGGCGGTCGGTATATCGCTCAGCAGAAGCTGGGCTGGGGTCAGTTCTCTACAGTTTGGCTTGCATACGACACGCAATCATCTGTAAGAGCTTTTGTGAATAAAAAAGGCGTTGGGTTTTCAGTTCGTCCTTGTGGGCTTGAATTTATTGTTGATTTGAATTTTGGGTTTGCGATCACATTGTTTTAGGTTCATTTCCTGTTGTTCTTTTCATGTGCAAGTGATTTTCTTAGTCCTACGTTTTTTAGTTTTGGTTTTTTTAAATCCACTGATGTATCTTAATGTGATTCGTGTAATTTAGAAGAATGAAATCTTAGCATTATGATTTGGCTAGCTGGTGCACTTAGTCTGTATGTATATGGCATCATGGTAATGATTCAAGATTCAATATTGAAAGTCCTTGTAGCCAGGATCCAATCTTGCCCCTACCAAAAACAAAAGGAAAACGAAAAAGAAGACAATTAAGTAGAGTATTTAATAAAAAAATTATTGATGTGTGTTCTTTGAAAAGGTGATGCATTGAGTTATAGCATCACAGAAATAAAGGCCTTTTCTTGAACTTAATTTAAGCTGAAAAAATCATTCTTCTTTATTCCATGTTTGCATAATTGAAGTGGATAGTGTTAAACTATAACTACAACTACAACTCACTAGTAATCGCTGAGAATATTAACCACTTCTTTCTGCAAGTCTGCAAGAAATAAACGGATAACCAAAAGCTAAAATTTTGCTGTCTTGCTTGTCCACGCTACGTGGTATACTTCAAGACCATGCCTTTAGCATATAGGGCATTTTCTCTCTTTTATGAATTGAATATATGCAGTTCCCAGCCACTTATGTTTGGTGAATGATAGAGTTTTCATGTTCACGCTTTTTGACATGTTCAGAAGTCTTGTACTTGAACATCCATCGGATGTTCTATAACATTTTTTTTTTTTGGGTTTCATAGAAATATGTTGCCTTGAAGATCCAAAAAAGCGCCCCACAATTTGCTCAAGCTGCGGTTCATGAAATTGAGATCCTTTCCTCTATTGCTGCTGGTGATCCCTCAAACAGTAAATCCGTTGTGCAATTAGTCGACCACTTTAAGCATTCGGGCCCAAATGGGCAGCATTTGTGCATGGTCCTCGAATTCCTTGGTGACAGTTTACTCCGTCTCATCAAGTACAACCGGTATAAAGGTCTCGAATTGAACAAAGTTCGAGAGATATGCAAATGCATTCTGACTGCTCTGGATTACTTGCACGGAAAACTAGGAATTATACACACCGATCTAAAACCTGAAAACATTCTCCTATGTTCCACAATTAATCCTTCAAAGGACCCAATTAGGTCTGGGATGAACCCCGTGCTCGAAAGGCCCGAGGGAAGCCCGAATGGTGGAATTACAACGAATAGTATCGAGAAAAAACTAAAACAAAGGGCGAGAAGAGCAGTTGCAAGGATATCAGAAAGGCGGGCTTCTGTGGGAGGGGTAGGTGTGGTTCCAAAGCCTTCTCGGTGTTTGGATGGGATTGACTTGAAATGTAAGGTTGTGGATTTTGGGAATGCGTGTTGGGCAGATCGGCCGATTGCTGAAGAAATTCAAACGAGGCAATACAGGGCTCCAGAAGTTATCCTTAATTCCGGTTATTCTTTTCCTGCTGATATGTGGTCCTTTGCTTGCACGGCTTTCGAACTTGCAACTGGCGAGATGATGTTTACTCCGAAGAGTGGACAAGGCTTCAGTGAGGATGAGGTGATATATGCCCTTGATTTTATGTTTATGCATAGCATGCACAAAAATAAATAAATAAATTCAACGAGCTCCATTCGTCACATCTTTTCTTCAAATCATTTACTTGCTAGAATGATATGTTAGTTTCTCTTTGCATATCTGCATCACATGCCCACGGTGGGCACATGCTAATATGTCCACCGCTTATGTGACATGCACACATTGGTGATGTTAATATATTAAAAAAATACATCACCAATGTGTGCATGCCACATAAGCGGTGGGCATGTGAGCATTTCCCCTCCAGTAAAATGCTCTTTAAAGTTGGAGCAATAAATTTCATTAGTTTGTTTGTACCAAGTCAAGATTCATAAGAGAGTATTTCTTATTTCATTAGTTTGTTTCGATTTATTTAACTGATTTAGATACTATCATTGTGAGTTAGTGCGTCTTAAGCTATAGGAGTTCACGTATGATAGTTTGACGGTTTGAAATTTAAGCAACAAAATGTAAAATTTACTTAGTATATACTCACTTTGAAACTATTTTGTCTAAAAGTGATGTAAGTTGATTTGTGATATGAGTGTGCTTTTGCAGGATCACCTAGCTTTGATGATGGAGCTCCTTGGAAAGATGCCACGAAAGGTAAACAATTTACAACTCATATATGTACATAAATGCACACAGATATCATAATACTTGAACTGGATACAAGATTTGCTGACTGGATGTCAATTTCATTAAACAAAAGATCGCCATAGGCGGGGCTCGATCCAAAGATTACTTTGATAAATATGGTGACTTGAAGAGGATTCGAAGGTTGAAATACGGGTCTGTCGATCGGCTGCTCGTTGATAAGTATAAATTTTCTGATGCCGGTGCTCGTGAGTTTGCGGCTTTTCTTTGTCCCATACTCAATTTCGAGCCTGAAAAGCGGCCGACTGCCCAACAATGCCTGCAACACCCATGGCTCAATATCGATAATCAGACGCATGATGAAGTAAAGAGTGAATCTAGCGTTGAGAAGGTGAATGTTGGCATGACCAACCTGCAAATTAAGTTGCGCAAGTAAATGCTAGGAATGGAATGAAAAGTTTTCCACTTGTTTTTCTTGAGTTTTTGTTTGTGGTTAATTTTTTGGGATTTGTTTTTTTTCCAAAGTCTTGGTAGATTTTTTTGATTTGCTGACCGGCTAAGAGGTATATTAGCAATGTGTATAGCAAGGACATTCAAACGGTAGCAC